GCACGATGGAAGCATACGTCGATGACATGATCGTCAAAAGCAAGGAATCAACAAGCCACGCTGATGACCTTCGAGAAATTTTCGCCATCATGCAAAAGTTCAACCTTCGACTGAACCCGAAGAAGTGCACCTTCGGTGTGCAAGGAGGGAAGTTTTTGGGCTACATGGTGATCCGAATGGGTATCGAGGCCAATCCGGAGAAGATCAAGGCCATCATCAACATGGAGCCCCCACATAACGTGAAGGAAGTTCAGAGGCTGACGGGCCGCTTGGCGGCCCTCAACCGCTTCCTATCAAAATCGGTAGAGAAGTCCCTTCCTTTTATCCAAATTATGAGGAAAACCGCCGGCTTTCAATGGACAACCGAATGCCAGGCAGCCTTCGACGAGTTGAAACAATACTTGCAATCACCTCTGGTGCTCTCCCAGCCCAAGGCAGGGGAAACGTTGTATCTCTATCTAAGCGTCAGCCCCGCCGCAATCAGTTCAATCCTCATCTGAGAGGAGGCCGAAGTTCAACACGCCATATTCTATGTGAGCAAGACCCTCCGGGAGGCAGAACTCAGGTATTCCCCCATGGAGAAGATGGTACTGGCTATCGTCTGGACCATCAAAAAATTGGGCCATTATTTCCAAGCACATCCAGTGCAGGTCCTCACTCATCAACCCCTCAGTGCATTGATGCAGAGTCCTACCAGTTCCTCCAGGATGGTCAGATGGGCCATCTTCTTGAGCCAATACAACATAGACATCCGTCCGAGGCCTGCCATAGAGGGCCAAGCCCTGGCCGACTTTGTGACGGAATGCACGGCGAGATCAGCAACGGAGGCAGAGCCCTCGGCACAAGGAGATGAGTGGTGGACCCTCTACGCAGACGGTTTTTCAGCAGCAAAAGCATGCGGAGGAGGTGTGGTCCTCATCACACCCGAAGGCTTCCGTGCCTACTATGCAATTCGTTTCTCCTTCAAAGTTTCCAATAACGAAGCAGAATACGAGGCCCTCCTCTGTGGCTTCCAGCTAGCGGCTAACCTCAAGGCAAGGATGATCCACATAAAATGTGATTCCAAGCTAGTGGTCGGCCAAATATTTGGTGAATACGAAGCAAGGAGGGGAGAATGAAGCAATACAAGGAAGCAACCAAGGAATTGCTCAAAGTATTTGACGCACACTCCATCACTCAAATACCGAGGGCTCAAAATTCTGAGGCCGATATTTTATTCAAGCTCTCAGACGAATTCCCAGAACATCTCTCCAAAATTACGAGAATAGAGGAACTCAACCTCTCAAACATACACGCCAGCCCCATCATGGATATGCACCAGAGGCCGGAAGACTGGATTTCAGACATCACCAACTTCATCACAATAGAGCACCTGCCTGAGGACGAAGGCCGTAAGAAGCTAGCAAAGTTGAGGGCTCCAAGCTACATCCTCGAGAACGGCAAACTTTACAAACGATCCTACAACGGTGCATTACTCCGATGCCTTCACGAAGAAGAGGCCGAAGTCGCTATGGAGGAGGTGCACAATGGAACCTACTCGTCTCACCAAGGACCCTTCTCAATGTCCCGAAGGCTAATCATCCGAGGCTACTTCTGGCCTACGATGGCCCGGGATTGCGCAGACCTCGTCCGGAAGTGTAACACTTGTCAACACTTCCAGAAAGCTCCGGGAAGGCCCACGGTGAATTACACTCCTGTCAGCACATCAATACCCTTTTCCAGGTGGGGCATTGACCTAGTAGGACCATTGCCGAGGGGTACGTCAAACAACAGATACATAATAGTGGCCATCGATTATTTCACAAAGTGGGTAGAAGCTGAACCCCTCGCCAGTATCACCGAGGCCCGATGCCGCCGCTTTGTCTTGAAGAATATCGTCACCAGGTTCGGCGTCCCCCAACAAATTGTGTCCGACAACGAAAATCAGTTTGAAGCAGCCCCCTTCCGGGACCTCCTGGAGGCATGGGGAATAAATCATACCTTTTCTTCGGTTGCCTACCCCCAAGGTAATGGTCATGTTGAGAACGCCAACCGAACGCTGCTGGAAGGCTTGAAGAAGAAAATGGAGGCTGAAGGCGGAGGTTGGACAGAAGAATTACATAACATCTTGTGGGCCTATCGCACTACCCTTGAAGGGTAACTGACGAAACTCCTTTCACCCTATGCTATGGTTTCGAAGCAAATGCACCCACCGAAGTAACCCTCCCGACCAGGAGAGTGGACCAATACGACACCGAAAGCAACGTCGCAAACATGGCTCTTGACCTCCATCTCATTTCAGAACGCCGGGAGCAAGCCTTCATGAGGGCGGAAAACTACAAATGCCAGGTTAAGGGCTATATCGATTCTAAGGTGGGAAGCTGGCACCAAATTCGAACGCCCCTACATCGTGACGGCCATCATAAAACCAGGAACGTACAAGCTTCAACGCACTAATGGGACTAAGTTCCCCAGTCACTGGAATGTACATCACTTGGTAAAATTCTATCAATAAAATCTTGTACGAGTGGCCAAGCCCTCAGACATGCCCCTTGACCCACGACCTTTTTTCATGAAAAAGAAATTACCATATTCTATTTTCCTATCAGCACAATAGCCCTCAGTACCAAGTACCGAGGATATATCCGTGGATCAACTACACCTGGAAAGAAAAAACATCCAAGTGTTTTCACGCTAAATTAAGCCCTCGGTACCAAGTACCAATGCCGGATTCATCGGTAAAAACACCAAATGTTTTGGACAAAAAACCACAACATTATGCTAACAACAAAGTTGTCCCCCTTGAGGACGCCCCTACACACACATTCAAAAAAACCGAGGACACCACCCCTCGGTTTCGAAATGCACCAAGTGCCTCTGGACATTTGCGTAAAAAAACGCAAATAAAACCTGATGGAGTATATGGCCCGGGAAACCCCGGTCCACAGACTCCTATTGCTCCAATAAAGGCCCAATAGGCCCAGGAAGCACAACAGGCCCAAATCACAGCGCCCAGAGTACCAAGCGGCCTACAACGCGCACTAGGGGTGCCTTCGGCCCCCTGGCCGAAGGCTCCAATTCTCACAGGAGGGCCAAATCAGGAAAACAAAGTTACTGGGAGAAAACGGCGAAAATCAGTAGCCCTCGGCACCTAGAGCCCTCGGCACTAAGGAGGTCCCCGGTACTCAGAGCCCTCGGCTAATCATCTACAGCCGAGGGCACCTTTCCAACATAATATCCGCTCCACATGCGCATGGATCACCGTACCAAGTACGATGTCACATCCAACAGTCGCATTAAATGCGGCCACATGCGATTGCCAGCGCCAACCAGTTGAGGTGACCCCTCGGCCAATGGATGCTTGACACGTGTCCCTATCTGGCATTTATTGCTACTATAAATAGCACCCCATTTCCCCATGTGTAACCTAGAAGCAAATACGCTGAATACATTTCCAATATACTCTCTCTCTACTTACTTACTCTGACTTCTCTCTAGTTATTCCCCGTAATAACCCCTCGGATAAGCTACCCCCCGGGTACACTCATCCATCAAAACTCTTCCCTGAAACGCTTTCTGAGCCATTCCCCAAGGGAATGGCAGGCAACGAACGATGTCCCGTGCCCAGGATTCGACTTTCACAAACGAAACGCTTCCCGCGCTATCCCTCAAGGGGAAGCAGGCAACAGACGATGTCTCGGGCTGAGGGAACGACTTTCAAAAAACGAGACACTTTCCACGCCATCCCCCAAGGGGATGCAGGCAACAGACGATGTCTCGGGCCGAGGAAACGACTCTCACACCCCTCGGATCCCGGAAGGTCAAACACCAAGGGGGGAGCCAGTGGTTCATACCGTTGCCTTCCAAACAGACCAAGTCTCCCAAGAAACCAAGTTTCTTGAAACCTCCCCCCACCCTTCAAAAAAAATGGAGTGAGGGGGAGTAGACTCAGTGAGCAATCAATGAGGAAATTTTACATAGTACACAATTCACACCCGTCGGTAGGCGCTCTGAGGGCATTCCCAAGGAAGACTTAAGATCAGCTGGGAACAATTGGAGGAGAAACTTGAAAATTTTTCTAAGTGGAAATTGTTCTAAGTCCACATCTCAAGAGCCCCCGACAAGGAAATCAGTACCGGAGGCTCTAGTTTTACATGTCGATTTGAAAGTTTCTAAGTCCACACCTCAACTGCTTCCAGCATATAAACCAAAACCGAAGGCTCCTACTATATATGTTGGGTTGAACTTTTTTCTAAGTCCACATTTTAAGAGCCCCTGGCACGTAATCCAACATCAAAGGCTTCTGGTTTATACATTGGATGAAACATTTCTAAGTACACATCCACTTTACGTGTTGGGTTGAAAATTGGCCAAGTCCACTTCTGAGCAGCTTCCGGCAGATAAGCCAATACCGGAGGTCCTGCTCTATGTGTTTGGTTGAACTTTCCCTAAGTCCACAACACATCCCCCGCAGAAGAGTATTGCAAAAGCAGAGCCCACAATCAAAGTTACAACACATGGATTCGCAGCTCATTCACGCACACAATCAGTTCAAAACTGGCTAAGCACACAAGTCAAAGAATAATAAAAACAAGGAGACAAATGAAGACGAAGGCAGAATAGTCATTCATTTACGTAAAAACAAGAATCAGAATTGTTGAAGTACATATTGGCCAAAGACAGAGGCTAAAAAACATTTGTTACACGGGCCCTTCATCTTCATCTTCAAGGCCACATTCTCGCATCAGCTCTGAATCCTCGATGATGGGCCTCTCTTCGCCTGGGGGAGGGGAATCCTAATATCTGGATGGCGAGGGGGAAGACCATACGTTTCCAGTTCGAAGCTCTCCGGAGGAACGTTGAAATGTCGGGCCAGCTTTCGATAGATTAGTCGCTGGGTGAAGAATTCCCCCCCTGATAGAAGGAATTCCCCTTCAGGGCCATCCACTCTTTCCCGGGGCCTTCAACCCAGGCATCGACACTCTTCTCAACCACCGAAGCCAGCCAGTCCTTCTTCTCCTCTGCTCTTTAACCCTCAGCAACGAAGGCATCCACGACAATCTTTCCAGCCTCGACCACGTCCTCGATCTTGGCCTTTTCAGCAGCTTGGGCAGACCCCCCGATGATCTTCTCAGCCTCAGCCTTGCCCTTGGCCTCGACAGCCTCCTGCCTTTAATCAATGCCCTCCGTCGCCAACCGGAGGGTCTCCTCAACATCTGCCAGCTTCTTCTGGAGGTTGGCATTCTCCTCATCGGACTTTTGCAGGGCCTCGTCCGCAACAATCTTGGCCTTCCTCAGCTGCTCGACCCTCCGGAGGTGCTCACTGAGGCCGATATAGCTCTACCAAAAAAATATTTAAAGATCAGATCGGTACATGGTGATAAAGAAAAATGAAGACGTGGTAAATCGACAACTTACAAAGGCACTGTTCAGAAGGATCCTGGACTCGAGGATGTCATCCTTCATTCTGGCGAGCAGAGACCTATCGCTCGAAGGCGTCAATCCTCTCATATGCTCCATGGGGTTGATGGTAGCGGCCAAGATAGAGGTGCCCTTCTTTATCGAGACCTTCAGAGTCTCCTTGCTGAAAAAGGCCTCATCAATGTATTTTGGAGGCGAGCGAGGGGGCGTCATCACGTTGCGCGGAGGGTCAGAAGTTGAGTGGCCTTCCGGGATGACCATAGAATCAGAGGCACGCTTTGTGCCAGGGTCGCCCACCTTTTGCTTCTTCACCAAGGGCTCGGTTCTGTAAGGAATAAATGTAATTAGATTTTGATGATGCTAGGTTAATTAGAATTTGAAAGTACCCCTATAGAACTTTTGTATTAGAAATTTCTTTGTAAGTATTAGCTTAGTCGACATGCCAGAAACCCTCTTGGTCTTCTTGATCAGAACATCTACCAGAGTTGCTCATAGAGTTGCTCTCCAGAGAAGCCACCAGAGTTGGCATCAGAGGCAGACATCAGAGTTCGGACCAGAAAGCCTCATCAGACTTGCTCTTACTTAGCAGAATTCGAAGGCACTTTCCAACGGTCGTGAAACTAACGGGAAATTCCCTAACGGCTAGGAGCCATTCGACGGAAACATGGTACTGTACATGCATTAAATGCTCAATTAATGCTGTACGTACGAAGATATATTTAAAGCTGATGATTGACCATGCGAGTATCTTTTCGCCCCCAAAATAGCAAGTCGAAGGTCCAACTGGTCAAATCAACAGTACAAGCATTTAATGAAGCTGTCTTCTACACTCCAACGGGAAGACTGCTCCTAGTATATAAGATACACTTTGAAGAACTACAGGATAACTTTTCTCTCTGCATTTTGCAAAAACAACACCTTCAGCATCCAAGCTTTCTTGAGATTTCAAATTCATTCACTTCAACAAGAAAGGCTTACGTTGGAAAGATATCAACTTCTTATCCTCTCATCCAACAAGAGAAAAGTTCCTCCAGTTCTTCAACACTTCGAAAGCCTCACTTATACATCCTTTGTGAAGAATCTACGTTGGAGAAAACCATTCTTAAAACAAACACTTCTTGAAAAAGAAGGGCGGTCTCAAACTAACTGGAGTAAGTGAAGTGGAGATACTTCCAAGAGACTCAGTGAAACGAGACCAACCATCTTGAAGCAGGACTGCATCCCGGGTGGCAACTAGGCTTGAAGAAGATGAGGAGTGCTTCTTAAGTGCTAGGGACTAAGGCGTTGTAACTGTTAACTTACAAGCTTAGTGGAACAGTTGACTTGAGGAACACGTTGTTCCTTGAACCACTATACAAATCCCCGGTGTCATTTACTTTACGCATTTACTTTCTGCACTCTAGACTTTAACTGCTTAACTCAAAAGGTTGGACTCTGTGTCCAGCAGATCTTCCTTAAGAGTTATCAGAAAGGCATTTGCCTTAGTGTTTTTCCTGAGGCTACAGAACCTAATCCGCTGCAAGGTCCAGCTCTGCCATCAGAACTTGACCTTCTCTGTCACCAGATTTCGACCTTCTCTGATAAGTCAGTGTTGACTTTGAGAAAAGCTTTGAAAAATCCTGAACAGTCTATTCACCCCCCCTCTAGACTGTTCCTAATATAAATGGGACCAATAAGTGGTATCAGAGCCTCCTCGTTCTTGTAATCTTTTAGGTTACTTGCTGAACAGAGATCCACTTGTTTTATCCTCTTTTAATATCTTATTATGGATAACACTCTGTCGAAGAACTTAATGTTTTCAGTTACCAAGTTTGATGACTGGAAGATTCGAATGAAAGCTCACCTCTGCGCACTACATGGTGAAATGTGGGAAGTCCTAGATGCAGGTCCCTTCACTGAGTTCACCAAAGTGAATCCTGAGTACTCTGCTGGCAGTGGTCAACCCCAAATGATCACTAAGCTTCGCCATGAATGGTCTAATGAAGAAAGAAGGAAGTACAATCTTGAGAACATAGCCAAGGACATTTTGTACAAGGCCATTGATGACAAATACTTCACAAGGATCAAGAAGTGCACATCAGCCAAGGCTATCTGGGATACACTTACCCTGATAGGAGCTGGTGATGAGTAGGAGAAAGACAACAAGCTCACAATTTCCATGAATAAGTTTGAAGACTTCAAACTTCTCCCCAAGGAATGCATAGCTGAGATGTATGCATGCCTGCTCACCCTTACTGCTGAGATTTCAGAACTTGGGAAGGAACTGACTCCCAAGGAAGTAAACTTGAAGGTTCTCAGAGGTCTACCTTCACCCTGGAAGATGAAGGTTACTGCCATGAGAGACAACAAAGATCTCAGGACCTACAGAACTGAGAAACTCATCTCTGATCTCAAATCTTATGAGTTCGAGATGAATGAAGAAAAGAAAGAAGAAGTTGAGGATAGAACAACTACTGCTCTCACAGCCAGCACCTCACACGTAAATAACTTTGACCCTTCCTTACTTTTAACTGACGAATATATGGCTACCTTTGCCAGGAAGTTCAGGAAATTCATGAAGCCCAAGGATGGCAGAAGTCCATCCTCTAGCAGAAAGCCATTCCAGAAATCCAAACCATCAGAAAGTAGTGGAGAGCTTCTCTGCTACAACTGCAGACAACCAGGGCACTTCAAGGCCAACTGTCCACACCCAATAGTTTCCAAAAGGCAAGGCCAAGAAGGAGAGAAGAAGTATGAGCACAGAAGGAGAAAGGCACTCATCACAGAGCAACTAGAGAAGGACCCCCTCTCTGAGACAGAGTCTAGCTCAGAATCAGAGTCCGATGAGGCATTCTGTTGCCTGGATACATAAACTGAAGACCTATGTCTTATGGGTCAATCTGATAATGAGGTAACCTCTACTTCTTCATCTAGTTTTTCTTCGGTAGGCAAAGCTTTTGATTCAGATTCAATGTCAGAATTTTGGGAAGAGTTTCAAGCCATCCAAACCACTTATTCCTCTGTCAAAGAAGAAAACAGTAAGCTGAAGGTTGAGATTCTTGACTTAAGAAAGGAGGTTGAGACCAAAATCAATCATCTGATTAAGGAGAGAGATCAGCCGGAAGCTGAAAATGCTTCTCTTCTCAAGAGAATAAGAGATATAGAGCCTTTTGAGATGAAGTACAAAGCTTACCAGAAGGCCTAGTCTTCCATGGAAAAGATTGTACTTGATCAACAAATTGGCGTTGATTTTGGTCTTGGTTATGGCTCAACAGAATCAGGTGAACCTTCCATAATGCCTAGCACCAGAGTTGCTACGGCAGATAAGGTCATAGTGCCACTGATTTCTAGCCCCATTTGCCAAGCTAGTGTATCTGGTACTAAGGTTGTTCATGAGAAGGTCAGACCAGATAAGCAAAAGATAAAGGTTCAACCCAAACAAAATTTGAAAAATAATGAACCTGGCAGAAAACTTAACAACAAGAAAAGTTTTCAAAACAACAGAAATCAAAGACAAAATTTGACCAGACATTCTCATGACTACCCCATCAGAAATGACCACCAGAAAGGCAAATATCAAGAGAAGGTAAACTTCAGGCAGAAGAGGTTGGCTGGTCAACCTCAGAAGCCCAAAGCTAACTGCCCCTCTGCACTTGATAGTATATGGGACTTCTACCCAACCAAAAAGGCTATGCAGAAGTACAAAAACAGGAAGCATGATCCTCACAAGCATCTACCTAAAGTGAATCACACCTCCGTTTACTATGACTACTAGGTGGACAATGGGTACCACCCACCAAGGTTTCACTTGATGAGACCAAAGTGGTACTGGCTGCCAAGACTGCATAACCCCCTAGGACCCAACATTGCTTGGGTACCTAAATCTTCCTTTTATTAATGCAGGAACTGTGTGCTGGAGCAATCTCTGAGCAAGACTGGTATATTGATAGTGGATGCTCCAGGCACATGACAGGTGACAAGAGTTTCCTTACAGAGTTCCAGAGATGCAAAGGGCCAAAAGTCACCTTTGGTGGCAATGATAAAGAAGGCCAAACAAAAGGGAAAGGCAAGCTGATCAGGAACCAGATAATCATTGATGATGTCTCATATGTCAAAGGCCTGAAATTCAACTTGCTAAGTGCTAGCCAGTTCTGTGACAAAGGCTACACTCTTGAATTCTCCAAAGAAGGCTGTTCTGTCAAGCATGAGACAACTAAGGAAGTGGTTCTGACAGCTACCAGAAAAAGAAACATATATGTTGTTGATTGGTCAATGCAAAAGAAGGAATTTGCCTGATAGCCAAAGGAGATTAAAAACTTAGCTGGGAATGGCACAAGAAGCTGAGTCACTTGAATTTCAAAACAATCAACAAACTAGCAAGGGATCACATTGTTAATGGACTGCCCAACATTGTGTACAAGAAGGAGAACCTGTGCAGTGCATGCCAGAAAGGAAAGCAAGTGAGGAACTCCTTCAAACCCATTGCTGGAGATCTTTCTACAAGTCCTTTAAATCTGATCCACATGGATTTATTTGGACCAGTTGAAACTCCAAATGTTGGTGGCAAAAGATATACTTTAGTCATGGTGGATGATTATTCGAGATACACTTGGACAATCTTTCTGAAGAAAAAGAATGAGACTCTACAGAAACTACCATCTCTGTTGAAGCTACTACAGAATGAGCAGAATCAGAAAGTCAAGACTATCAGATCAGACAAGGGAACAGAGTTCGTCAACAAGGTCATAAAGGATTTCTGTGACCAGAATGGAACCATGCACCAACTCTCTGCAGCCAGAACTCCTCAACAGAATGGAGTTGCAGAAAGAAGGAATAGAACATTGAAGGAAGATGCAAAGACCATGATTGCTGAATCTGATCTACCTCTCAGATATTGGGCTGAAGCAATCAACACTGCATGCTATACTCAGAATCGGAGCATGATTCACAAGACTCGTCAGAAGACCCCCTATGAGCTATGGAAAGGAAGAAAACCGAATATCAGCTACTTTCATGCATTTGGATGTAAATGCTATGTACTCAACAATGGAAAGGAACATCTCAAAGTGTTCCAAGAAAAAGCTGATGAAGGCATGTTCTTAGGCTATTCAAGCACAAGCAAAACCTATAGAATACTTAACAAAAGGACTCTACTTGTTGAAGAATCTATTCACGTCAAGATTGATGATCACAACTCTGTTG